ATTGTAAATTGTGCTGCTGTGAACATAGGGGTGCATATATCCTTTCTGATTGATGTTTGTGATTTCTTATGATATATTCCTAGAAGTGGGATGGCTGGGTCAAATGGGAGTTCGTTTTAATTTTTTTGAGGAAAATCCATACTGTTTCCCACCAAGACTGCACCAGTCTGCATTCCCACTAGCAATGCATGAGGGTTCCCTTTTCTCCGAATCCTCGCCAGCACTTGTCTTTTGTTGATTTGTTGATGATAGCCATTCTGACAGGTGTGAGGTGATACCTCATTGTTGTTTTGATTTGCATCTCTTGGATGATTAGTGACTTTGAGCATTTTTCAATATGTCTCTGGGCCTTCCATATATCCACTTTGGAGAAGTGTCTATTTAGGTCCTTTGCCCATTTTTTAATTGGATTGTTTTCTTTTGTTAAGTCATATGAGTTCCCTGTATATTTTGGAAATTACCCCCTTATTGGGTGTATTATTGGCAAATATGTTCTCCCATGTAGTGAGCCCTTTTGTCATTTTGTTGATGGTTTCTTTTTCTGTGTAGCTTTTATTTTGATGCAGTCCCATTTGTTTATTTTCCCTTTTGTTTCCTTTGTCCTAGGAAATGTATCCGCACACATAGTGCTATGAGACATGTCTGAGATTTGGCGGCCTATGGTTTTGTGCCGTACATTTAAGTCTTTTATACATTTTGAGTTTATTCTTGTGTATGGTATAAGTTGGTGGTATAGTTTCATTTTTTTTTTTTTTTTTGTATGTATCTGTCCAATTTTCCCAACACCATTTATTGAAGAGACTGACTTACTACATTGCATGCTCTTGCCTCCCTAGTCACATATTAAATGAGCATAATGGGTTGGGTCAATTTCTGGGCCCTCTATTCTGTTCTATTGATCTACATGCCTGTTCAGTACAAGGCTGTTTTGAGTACAATGGCTTTGTAATTAACTTGATATCTGGTATTGTGATTCCCCCAACTTTGTTCTTCTTTCTCAAGATTTCTGTGACTATTCGTTTTTTTTGTTTGTTTGTTTGGTTGGTTCTATATACATTTTTGGAGTGTCTGTTCTAAGTCTGTGAAATATGCCGTTAGTATTTTAATAGGGACTGCATTGAATCTATAGATTACTTTGGGTAGTATGGATATTTTAATGATATTGATTCTGCCAATCTTTGAATACTGTATATTCTTCCACTTGTTTATATCTTCTTCTATCTCTTTTATCTCTTTAGTTAAATTTATTCCTATCTTTCTTTTTTGTTGCAAAGGTAAATGGGATTATTTTTTATTTTCTCTTTCTAAGATTTCATTATTGGAACATAAAAATGCCATAGATTTCTGGGTGTTAATTTTGTATCCTACTATGTTGCTGAATTCATTTATTAAATCTAGTAGTTTTTTTATTGAGTCTTTATGGTTTTCTGTGTACAATATCATGTCGTCGGTAAATGAGAGTTTTCCTTCCTCCTTTCCAATTTGGATGCCTTTTATATCTTCTTGTCTGATCGCAATGGCTAGCACTTCTAGTACTATGTAAAACAGGAGTGGTGAAAATGGGCATTCCTGTCTTGTTCCTGTTCTTAGGGGAAATTGTTTTAGTTATTGCCTATTGAGTATGATGTTGGCTGTAGGTTTGTCATGTATGGCTTTTATTATGATCCCTCTGTTACCACCTTGCTAAGAGTTTTTATCAAAAAAGGGTGTTGGATTTTGTCAAATGCTTTTTCTGTATCAATAGATAAGATCATGTGGTTTTTGTCTAGCAATCTATTTATGTGATGTATCACATTTTTTGATTTGTGATTATCGTACCAGTCTTGCATCCCTGGGATAAATCCCACTTGGCCATAGTGTATGATCTGTTAATGTATTGCTAGATCCAATTTACTAATACCTTATTGAAGATTTTAACATCTTTGTTCATCAGGGATATTGGCCTGTAATCTGCTTTCTTTGTAGTGTCTTTATCTGGTTTTGGAATTAGGGTAATGCTGGCCTCATAGAAAGACCTTGGAAGCGTTCCTTCCTCTGGAATTTTTTGCAATAGTTTGAGGATAGGTATTAGTTCTTCATTGAATGTTTGGTGAAATTCCCCCATGAAACCATCTGGACCGGGGCTTTTGGAGAGGCAAGTCTTTTTTTTTTTTTTTTTTTTTTTTAATATATTTTATTGATTTTTCACAGAGAGGAAAGGAGAGAGAGAGAGAGAGAGAGAGAGAGAGAGAGAGAGAGAGAGAGAGAGGGAGCTAGAAACGTCGATGAGAGAGAAACATCGACCAGCTGCCTCTTGCACACCCCCTACCGGGGATGTGCCCACAACCAATGTACATGCCCTTGACCGGAATTGAACCTGGGACCTTTCAGTCCGCAGGCCGACGCTCTACCACTGAGCCAAACCAGCTTTGGCAAGAGGCAAGTCATAATTGGAGGACCTTACAAGGCAGATGATTTATACAAGGAAACTAAAATTCAGAGTCTTAGTAATTGCCCAGCTAGTAATTAAGTGACTGAGGCCAGTCTAAATTCTATATGATTAAAAATATTGCAGTTTTTCCCAGCCCAGGAGTATTCTATATAGTCCCAAGGGTAAAACTAGGGTCTGTAGGCAGAAATTTCAAGGCAGTGGATTTTATTCCACCCATTGGAGAAGATGACCTGAATTCAGAGTGGTCCAGAAATGGCAGGATTAGGGGCGGGGGGGTTTCGGGGGGAAAAGGGGGTGTCATTCTGGAGGCACTGATTGCCCATTCATATGGGTCATCTTTTCTCAATGTATGTTCTATAAAATATGCTGTCTGAAGTGTGGCAAAAGTATGCGGGAGTGGGAAAAAGAAATGGCTGTGTGCTTGGGTAAATACTCAAAATGCTCAGGTAAAACATGTCATTTCCTGGGCAATTTCTCTGAGACTTTCACACATGGGTTGTGATCTGTGAATCTTCTAAATGAGGACTTATTTGACTTTGGGACCCCTTTCTCCTGGAATATCTTAAGGGACTACTTATTACATTCCAAAGAATGTGGTAATAAAGTATGGTGGAGCCCGAAACCTGGGCATGCGTCCTGAGCGGCAATTGAACTGTGACCTTCTGATTCACAGGCCAGTGCTCAACCACTGAGCCATGCCAGCTGGGCCTGGCCTCCTTTCTGCTCTGAAAACACTCCAGATATCCATAGACGTTTTCTCAGCCATTCTGCTTCCCAGAGGCTCCTCTCCCCTGGACCTGGGTGGCTAACTTAGATGCCTCCTGCCTGGCTTTACTTCATGTGACTGTCTCAGGACAACTTGTCTGTCCCCCCTCTCCTCTGGGCATCTCCGATTCCTCTTACTCTCTCCTAGTATATTTTCCAGAGCACTTACCATCTTCTAGCATATGATGCAATTAGCTTTGGTATTTTTGTTGTCTGTCAACACAAGAATGTAAGCTCCACAAGGTCTAGGATCTTAGTTGGTTTCATTCACCGAACTATCCCAAGCATTTAAAATCACTCTTGTTTTTTGTTTTTTTATGTTCTTAATTTTTTAAAATTGATTAAGGTATTACATGTGTCCATATCCTCCCATTCCCCCCCACACTCCCATACATGCTCTCATCCCCCAGTGTCTTGTGTCCATTGGTTATGCTTATATGCACACATACAAGTCCTTTGGTTGATCTCTTACCTCCCCTTGCCCCTCCCCAGCCTTCCTGCTGTAATTTGACAATCTATTCAATGCTCCTCTGCCTCTGTATCTATCCTTTTGTTCATCAGGTTATAATGTTCTTTATTATCCATAAATGAGTGAGATCATGTGGTATTTTTCTTTCACTGACTGGCTGATTTCACTTAGCATAATGCTATCCAATTCCATCCATGCTGCTGCAAATGGTAAGAATCCCTCCTTTTTTAAAGCAGCGTAGTATTCCATTGTGTAGATGTACCATAGTTTAAAATCACTCTTGTGACATAATAGGTGCTTAATTAATATTGATTGAGTGAATGAGTGAAACACAGTTCCAAATTTCATGGAGGTGCTTCTGTGAATACCCACAAAGACAGAAAACTTGGATGCATTATTTGATAGTTTATTTTAGATAGATAGGTAGATAGATATATTTCTAAATTTTTGAAAGTATTACTACACTGTGTCTATGCACATCTGTGCATATACATACTAGTATATAGACTTGAATATCAAAATAATTCCAAAAATGTAGATCATGTTCTAATAGATTTTTAAAAAATCAAAACATCAGGTACCAAGGACAACTGGTGTGCTTTAACTCTGATGCCCTTCACACCCAAGCCTTGCTGGCATCATCAGCAGAGAGCTCTGGAAGATCCAAGTTTGATCCAGGAGTGCATCGGTGGCCTATTGATATTTTAATATCTGGGAGGTCAAAATCAGGTGCCAGTGATGCTAAGAATGTCAGGATGCTACTTAAAAGGTTCCATTAAGTAGGTTAAAGGTCATCATGACATGACTGTCATGTATGCCTTTATGTATAATCATGGACACTGTAGAGGCTTCAGGATCTGTTCTGCAAGCAGAACAATCATTTGTCATGCAAGCAGAACAATCATTTGTCTTCTAGGTGTGGGAAGGACTCTGAGAAGGGGCCCTCAGACACAGGTTAGTCTCTGCCCAAACTTTACTTACAGAACCACCTGCTTCTACATTTCAGAAATACTCCTGTGTCATCAGACAGGCAAAGCAAGAGGAGTGGGGTTTTAAATGGTGTTTTTATGTAAACCAGCCTGGGCTTGGCTATGGGAAAATGTCCTTGTCCCCCTTGTTTAAGGAGGAATGAAGCTGTAACTTGAGTTTCAAAACGGCTATCACCCCTTGAGCTACCACCTGCAGGATGGTGACCGCCACCCACACCTGGTTCTTCCTAGCCTTCCTGATCGGTGCTTGGTGTTGAGAAGAGAAAAGGTAAGGAGGTGAAGTTTTTTTCCCCAATTCTGGGGAAAGTCATGCATCTCGAGAAACAATCATCTCATTGTTATTTTTAGCTTTTATTTACAAAATGGTTATATTTTGCGTTCTGTACATACACGGCAATTTAAAAAAATACATATAAGTAACAGGCACTCAGTGCGTTAGAACACTTAATATGGGTTTTGAACTTCTGCCAGGAGTAGGCCCCAAAGCACTTCTTCCTATTTGCATTGCTGCGTTCATCCATTTCCAAACATTAGAAGATCCATCTCTCAGATTCTGTGTAAATCCTGCACACAGATAATTGGTAAAAAAGCAGCTTTCTTTCAAAATGTTCCGCGGTTTTTCTAATCTTGTCGCTTTTCTAATTTTCTCATCACATAACCTTGAAGTCGAAAGACACAGCCTGTGATAATCTTTGTACACGGTCTTCATTATTATCACAGTCGTTTCTGGGGAAGAAAAAAAAAAAAAGAGAAAACACACACAGAAAGAAGAAAAAAAACACACACACAACCTTTCCGCCCCCCCACACACATTCAAAGCTGCCTTTAAAGTCCTACTTTAGTCACAGTTCAATCAGATCCACATTAGTCCCACGCATCAGACAGAAGAGTGTTCATGAGCATAAGGGGGATATTGACTTTAAAAATTTACTGGCGAGGCGTTCAGAGCCTGCAGGAATGTCAAAACTCCAACCTGCATTTTGATGTTTTAGCCTCCGGTTAGTCTTGACTGACATGCTTGGAGCACTTTGGTCTGTGCTCTGGCACCCATTAACTGTCCTTGACTCAATGTTATCCCGGCCGTTATGGGCAGCTCGCTGCCTAATGCTTTCAGTGGCTCAGACGCCCCAAGGTGTAAGGAAACTCACGCCCCGTTTTAAGGGATCACATTGGCTATTCTTGGCTTCGTTACGGGGGGCATTGTTTGATCCGAAATAATGAGGGCCTGTTAATTATTATTCTGATAATTGGGCCTCGTGTGGGAGCATGGCAGAGCGCGAGGTGTTTTAAAAAGGAAGCGAGTTTGGAAAAGGGGAGAAAGCAATGTCAAGGTTGAGGTGTCTTTGAGAGGAGTTTGTTTATATGCAAAGTGTTTTCACCCAAGTGGGGACCTGGGGCTGGATGGAGGAGCGGGCGAGAAGGAGGCTGGAGGGAGCTTAGGTCTATACTTACTTCAGCTACGGTGGATTGCAAAATTGCTACCTTGGGCAGAGTATTCGAAAAGGCTCACCAATCCCAAGACTGAACCTGTAATTACACGTGAAGAAATTGGGAGTTGGGTTCTCTCAGAGGAAGAGATACAGGGAGAATAGTTGTCTTGGTTGAATCCCATTGGCTCGCTGGGGAAAACTGTGAACTTTGTCTCTTTATGTGCTGTCTTTTGTCCTATTTTTCCATCTATAAAATGACAACCACGTCCATTAAGGGTGTCACATAAAGACTGCTGCCTGGGCAGACAGAAGGGGTAGCTGTCTGTCCAGGAGGCACAAATGGTGGGAGTGCCTGAGGTGGCAGAGAACAGGTGACCTTTGTGGGCAAGGGGGTGCTGGCGGTTGGGGAGAATTCTCTTGAGTAACTCAGTCCCAGATGAACCTCTGAGATGCTATGAAAATTCTGCTGTTACAGACTATCCATTAGGTTAAAAGGCCTGCTTTAAGGTATTAAATCTGGACTTGGTCTCTTCCTCTTAGGTGAATACTGTTATAGCATTCACATTTATTTTTAAATTGATGCTGCTCTTGTAATTGTGGGGTAGAAAACTCCCAAGAATCTATGAGTCCCCACAATCTTATCTCTTTCTGGGAATCCAAATAAGAGCCATAGTGTCTCTATCCACTGGAAGGAAGGGTTGGATTTAAACAAATGGCTCCATTTGAAAGGAAGAGGGAGGGTTGGGTGGGAGGTAAACTTGCATTTGAAGCTTTCACCCGGGTTTTTGTGTCAGACTTCCATATACTTCAGGTGGAGCTGGCCAGCTGAGATGAGAGCTGGCCTGCCTATAGACCAGGTGACAGTGACCGACAGGAAGAGAAGAAACAGAGAGGAGGACCATACTCATTTTGAGTTCCAGTGCTATGTTCACCTGACTTTGCTTGGTTCTAAATCTCACTCTTCCAATTAAACTGGAGAGACTATCAAAAGTGCGTGTTCAAAACGGTTACAGAGCCTGGAGTTTTGGACTTGCCTGCGCCTTCTTCATACGGCTCTGTGATTCTCTTTTGTATGTGTGGATGTTCTTTGAGATGCACTGTGGGAGGTGGGGCAGGAGGAAAGGGTGGGAGGGCCGAGCGCAGTGCTGAGGATTGAAGAGTTAGTGGCCAAAACAGGTGATCTTGTCTGTGATCTCTCAACTGTTCCTAACAGCTTCAATGCATCTCATAGGTTCATCAAAATGACACTGCACTTCCCTGGAACATGGCACGCTAGGTGCCAAGCTGGTTGAGAGCACAGCCATCTTAGACCCAGTGCACAGGGGGGAATTCAAGGCAGAGTTGGCCAGCAGGCGAGTGGAGACCTGGACCTCACCTGATCACTCATTCATTTACATGACCTTGAGCTTAACTAATTATTCTTGGTCTGATTCCTCATCGGAGAAATGCGGTTAAACTGAGAGAAGTCAAACCCAATAGAGATGCTATGAAGCATAGAGGAAGGTTATAATCATAAAGCAATTTGTAAAAAAAAAAAAAAAAAGGAATAAGATAATATTTCCAGATAAATCAGGACAGTATGGATCCTTAACACTACCTCTTCCTTCCCCTCTACCTCCCATCTTGCTGCGTTTGCAATCTTAATCTTTTTGTTACTAAGTTGATCAGCCTCCCAATGAAATTTCCATAAGGATATAAGAAATTTCTTCCATTGGAATAGGCTGATGATTTTGGAAATAGTACCCAGCACAGTGACCTACATGCAAATACTTGTTAGAAATACGAGTTTCTCAGCAAAGACTATGTCTTTTCTGCTCAAGATCTTGCCCTTGCAGGTGACAAACATAAGGCTGACTACTCCAACTTCCCTTCAAACAAGGCTCTATAAAAGTTTTTAAAACTCTTTTTTTTCTGTTTCTTTATATTTTCATCCTACATCATTTCTTGGATTTCAAGCTCTGGCTTTCATTTAGCTCGTTTCTTTTTATCTGTCCTGGAAAAGCTGCTTCATGCTTCTATGAGGGACAGTGAACCATGTCTTCCTGGGACTATTAAGTAGGTGTGACATTATCCTATCCAGATCCGTGCCTTTTATAGATTTACTGCCATGGTACCCCAAGGCCTTGACTTTTGCAACTAAGGGGTCCTAGTCTTTTTTAGTCTGTTTTCATACAGAAGTCTCTCTCCTTTGCCTGAAGAAAGCCAACGGCCACTTTTATAAGATGTTTTACCATCTTACAATTATTACAGAAACCACCGTCTCTCTCTAGAGAGCTCACAGTTTGCTAAATCTGATAGATGATGTATCATCAAGAGCCATGGGTCAGAGACACTCCTGGGTGAAGACACTGTCTAAAGGAAAGAAAAAAGCTTTGTTTATCCCCAGAGTTCCCCTATTTCAAATAGGAAATCTTCCTCGGCCTTACCAGTTTACAGTGATGTCATCTACGTCTTGACATTCACTAAGGCAGATGATTGCCAAGGTCTTTGGTGCCTTTGAACTTGTACAAATAGTTCCACTTCAGTGATGGTGACTCAGAAGCCAACCTTCACAGCTGCCGCTCTGTTCTCCGGATGGCAGGGCATATGTGTTTCATGGATGAACCCTGGATGGTGGATATATGGCAAATACATATTCATTCATTCTTTCTCTTTCTCCCTCCTCCTCTTCCTCCCTCCCTCCTTCCCCCTCAAAATAGTTATGGAGTGTTTTCTTTCATTTTTAGCAGAGGTTACGTTGACGACTCTTTTAAAGTTAGTATTTCATGTTGCCTAAAAAATATCTGTAATTCAAATAGTGTGCTCCTTTCTGACTGCTATTCCTTGAGAAAAAGGACTTTGCCTTCCATCTCCCTGTGCCTTGCTCACTAATGATGATAATGAGAAAGTCATAAATACCATTGACTATAGGCTCTGTTAAGATAAAGATAACTGAATTGATCAAGTGACCATAGGATACATTATAAGCTGAAGTATTTTATGATTAGGCATTTGAGCTGAATAGGAATCCAAGATAAACCCATTTAGAATGTGGTCTGTAACCCCCTGACCACTCTCCCCCACCTCCCTTCATTCATTTGTGGGTTTCATTATCATGTAAATTGTCTGTGGTGACTTTGGAAGGCCTGCCAGCCAATTCACCACTTCCTGGAAGCATTCCTCTCCTCTGCTCCTTGTCCTGAGGAAAAGCGATTAGGCTGGTTACTGAAGAAGGAACCTACCCATTCCAGAGCTTTCAGGCTATTATGCTTCAGATTATCCACACTATCAAGTTCTTCTTACATTACAGATAATGACAAGCTGTTAATTTAAAAGAAAATAATTATTTTATGGCCTTGCACAAAGACAATTTCATTTAATAGTCACAGGTAACAAAAGCCTATCTACATTTGACTTGTTCAAAAATTTCCAGTAGGGAATGATGTGGGAGGCTAATGTGGATGGCATAAAGCACATTTGTGAAAACATTATCATGAATTCTATTCTCATTTTTCTTGTCCCTTCTTTCTCCTCACTGTTCTGGTCTTAACAAAGGAATCAGTCACACTGAACTATCAAATAGATGTTACAAAATACTTTAACATTTTATGGGAAGCATTTTTATCCCATCACCTGGGTCAGGATGGTTTTCCAAAGCTTCTGTGATTTGTGAACAGATTTGTCCAGGATTATGAAGGGCTGAACAGGCAGTGTGCTGTGTGTTCACATGGTGACATAGTTACCAGTCAAGATAGATCAGCTGAGTTAATGGCTGTTAAACTAGGCATATGGCCCTTGGGTTCAATTTGAGTTTCCTTGGCATCTCATGAAATAGCTCAGGCTAGTCTCTCTACAATTGTACAACACTGCAGTCTTTCAGAGGCTGTGCCTACACGCACAAACATTTTCATTAGTTCAACAAATAGTTTGCATCAGATTAGAATGTGCCAGGCCCTATCCTAGGTGTTGGAGATGGGTGGCTGAACAATATAGCCATTGTCTCCTTTTGGCTGTTAGACTCTGGAAAGGAAGAAAGATATAATAATTGATGTGAAACACAAGAAGAAAATACACAACTGCTATTGACTAAATTAAAAACTTCTTTTCTCAAGTAAATTTTTCTCAACTGAATTCTACCTTTTCCCCCTCTTCATTATTTACTTTACCTCCCACTACATCATAGCTTCTCTTGGGGTCTATAGCGAGGGCCAAGTAACTATCCCAAAGGAGACTGGTTAAGTCTTAGGCTCCCTGACTTCTCTATGGAGGTGTGGTCAGCTCCTGCTACTTTCTTCCCCTCCACCTCCAAAAAGTTAATTTGAGAAAGTTTTAGCATTTACCCCAAACGGAAATATTTGTGTCTATGTATATCTCTACTGAGTCATGTGCCTCTTAACAATGGGGAGATGTTCTGAGAAATGCTTCGTCAGGCAATTTTGTCTTAGTGTGAACATCGTAGTGTGCACTTACGCAAACTTTGTTGGCATAGTCTACTCCTGCAATTGTATATGCTGTACTTCTATATGGCTGGCATTGCGATGGATTTATTTACACTGGCATTAACACAAACACGTAATATGTTGTGCTAGGACTGTGGTCGGCCAAATTACGAGCCACATTCGGCTCTTTGGCCCCTTGAATGTGGCTCTTCCACAAAATACCATGGCGTGGGTGAGTCTATTTTGAAGAAGTGGTGTTAGAAGAAGTTTAAAAAATTTGTCTCTCAAAAGAAATTTCAATCATTGTACTATTGATATTTGGCTCTGTTGACTAATGAGTTTGCCGACCACTGTGGTAGGACATTACGATGGCTATGATATCACATCACTGAGTGATAAAAATCTTTCAACTTTGTTATAATCTTATGGGACTGCTGTAGTATATGTGGTCCGTAGTTAAATGAATAGTCTTTATGTGGTGTGTGACTGGAGACAGACAATGGAAATCCTAAAGATTGTGCATGCAACTCTATTTTCCAAATGTATGCACCTCAATCCTCCAACCAAGGCCAAAATGTCTACCTCCCCAAACTCAGAAGGCTCTTTAGCAGATTAGTCAGGGGCCAGACCCAGGAATGTAAGAGAGAGTTTGTAGCTTGGGCCATCTGTGTGGTGTCACATGAGTGACCAGCATCACCCTCTCCTGAGTATTTGTCACCATTTGGCATGATTAATTCTAAGTTTCCTGTAGTTCTCATTTCCATCACAGCTGCTGCATGGCTCTGATAAGTGTGTTGTGCACAGGGGTGTGGGAAGGGAGTCAGAGAAAGGAATGGAAATTTCTGTGGTTTTGGTTTTGGTGTGCTCTGCTATTGTCAAACCCAGAAGAAACGCACAATAGGAAATAGGTCAATTTAAACAGAACTTTCTAGAAGACCAAGGCAGTGGCCTTTGACATTCATCTAAGTAGATGATAAACAATTGCTTCTAACATTGTTAGGCGGCATGGCTGGTTGATAAACGAAATCTTTAGCATAGATTGACTGCATCCTATAAGCCTACAAGAACAGAAACCATTTCTCTTTTGGTGAGAAGAATGTTGTCCCTGATTAAAAGTAGCACAGTCTGAAGCATTGGGTCAGGTTCAATCTGGTGGCCACTACACATTATTTGTGTACCTTGAGTCAAGACATGATCCCTAAAGTGGTGTTAACTCATTCAATTCTAGAAGAAAAGAAAAACATTCTTTTTACAGAATGGACCATTTGATCTGGTAGCCCCTTATAAACAGCCCTGTTTTTCTCTGTGCCACCTAAGGTGGGTTGAATGCAGAACTGTGAAGCATTTAAACCGTGTGTTCAGTCTCCTTCCTAAACCTGATTCCCTTATACTGGTGTTCCAGCGTCCTCTCGTCATCATTTGTCTCATCTTTTTACTGTACAGAGACAATCTGCAGCTCAGTGTGCACTTCTGTTCACTGCCCATCCTCTACTAGGCCCTTTCCATGATTATCTCAAATACCAACTAGTAGGCCCTGTTAGGATCTCCATTTGTCAGATTACCTAAATGTTAAAAAATGTTACCAGTGTATTATGTCTATAACAGAACTCGTGGGCCACCCCACTAAATCCCATCTTCCTCATCTACCTCATTCTCAATCCAATCCACCAAGTCATTTTTGACTCTTCTCCCTCCCACCCCCACATCTAATTTAGCAGTAATTATTGCCAACTCCACTTTTATTATCTATCTCATATCTGACAACTTCTTATGCGCTCCAGTTATTCCCTATGTTTAAGGAAGACTCTGCATTGCTATTTTTTTCCCTTTGAATATCCCTCTCTCAGACTTTCCCCTGGATTGCACTATCTCTTCGTTAAAATTTAGGTAAAAAATGTCACCCCTTCAGTGCTTTTTTTCTTGCCTATCCTATTTCCCCTTCTCACTATCTTTTTATCCCACTTTGTTATTTTTATGGTAGCCTTCACTGCTTTTTCTTAGTGCTCATTCTACTATTTTTCTCTGTTTTTATTCTATCATTCCTGGTAAAGCATAAGCTTCATAAGGACAAGGACTATGATTGTCTTATTGCCTAGAACAGGGATTGGCATGGAGTAGACACTCAATGACACTTATTAACAATAAATAGACAAGGGAACACAAGACAGCAGAGATGGAGCCACTTGCCTGAGGTTACATGTGGTGGAGCCAGGGCTGAAGCCTTGGTCCGTCTGTCTGCTAATTGCTGCGCTAAACTTAATGTCACTCTCTTTTCCTATGCATCAAATAAATCACCCCTACATCCTGGCCTCTCTAGAAATCCATTGTCTAGCCTAATTTTCTATAAGTAATTAGGACTGTAAACTTATTTAAAAGGATGTGTAAGGATGGTAATTTGGTTAACTAAAAGAATTAATCTCTAATTTCAGTTAAAATCCCAATCAGTAAAGATGAAAAATTGGGGCAGATTTTTAGAGGGTCGTAGGGAAGGGGGACATTGAAACAATGGAGAATATGCTTCCATCAAATAACATCAGGAAGGTGGATCCATCTATGTAATGATTGGACACATCATCATCCTTTCACATGTATATCAAATATATAAAGGTGTTTCGTGCATATTATTTTCTTGCATTCTCAAAATAACCCTAAAAGCAGTGGTCCGAAAGGTTGGTGACCGCTGCTTTAAAGTTAGTATGTGAGATACCTTATTCCCTTGACAAAGGAAGAAAAGGAGTCTCAGAATGGTTATGTGACTTTGTCCAAGGATACCTGGCCAGTATGGTAGAGCAGGAGATGTTGTCTGTATCTTCAGAGTCATAAAGTCTTACTCACTGTATTGTAAACAGAATTCCACTTCTATGCTGTGAAGCATACAGATAAGGAACTATATTAACAAGGGGGAACAAATATGAAATGTGGCTTAATGGTGAAGGAAGGGGGAGGCAAGAATAATCTATCCAAAATAGAAAACACACACACACACACACACACACACACACACATATATATATATATATATATATATATATATATATATACCCCCTTATATGCTTCAGAATTTCTGATACTTTTTTTTTTCAGTCCTAGTCTCCCTCACTTAATTCCATGCTATCTCTGTAAATCTTCTATTTCACTGTTGAATCTTTCTTCTCCCTCACTCCTGTTCTCCTTCCTGCCTCATTCCCACCCTACTTCTTTCTTCCCCTCCTTCCTTTCTTTCTTCCTCTTTTAAATGTTGGACTACAGTTTAGTAAAAGGTATATTTTTGGCTCAAAATTCTTTGGCCTCATTCCTAGAGATCGACCCTAGTTTTTTTGCATTGCCTATCCACAGAGACCCAAACTCAGGCTAGTAGATTTATTCTCTCCATAAGGATAAATAAGAGCTTCAGTTTTAATAAAGCACCTACTACATGGCATGCAGTGCGCTGATGGCTTTACATTTTATTGTGTCATTCAAATCTCAAAACACAGAATGAGGCATTATACCCATTTTACAGATAAGAAAACTAAATCTAAGTAACTTGCCCAAGCTCTCCTGCCTAGTGAGTGACAAAACTAGGTTATAAACTCATGGATGATCTGAAGGAGAACATTGTCAACACTTGTTTAAATCATTCGATCAGGTCTTGAAATTACATACATAATATGTACCCCTATGCATGGCCAACTTTGCTAATCATTCATGATAATCTGATGACTGAGCCCAGAATCTTTCTTGATCTAGCCATTCAGGCTACCACTAATACTTGGCTAGAGTTGACAAGACTATTAGTCATCAAAAAAGTCCTGCTTTGTGAGGCCAGAGATCTCATGATTTTGTTTGGGTTTATTTTCTTGTTTGATATTGAGACTAGAACTCAATTAGCTGCAAAGACGCTCTTCCTCATTGTCAGACTTCCCCCTCCC